CTCTCTCTCTCTCTCTTGTGTATACACGTCACGGTTGCTTCTTCTTTCTTTCTTTCTTTTTCGCGCATCTGCGATCAGCGCACCGCACTGCGCAGCGCATTTCACCTATGTGCCGCAAGTATGTTGGTAACCTTAAACATATATTCATTATGTTGCTGTTGGTGGTGTGCCCATCTGCATGCAGAATCATCTTGGATCGGATTGCAGTGACTCAAGTGGTACTTCTTTTTGTTTTGGGTTGGGGGGGGGGGGGGGGGGGGTGCAGCTGACCAGCATGATCCTGTGCTTTCTGTCCTAGCAACTACCATGGTCTCTCAGACTCTCTGTGTTTCTTTTGGTACCTTTCTGCAGGCCCTGGATGCTGCGGCGGATCACACAGCACAAGCAGATGTGGCGCTTGTCCTGGGGTCCAGTCTCAGGGTGGGCCCGGCGTGCGATTTCCCTGTCCAGGTGTCGAATAGGGGAGGATCTATGATCATTGTCAATCTCCAGCATACGCCGCTTGATCGCAAAGCCAAGCTGGTTCGTTCCTTCACTGACTACTACTGCATGTTGGTCTTTCCTACCTCTTCCTCTGCTCCTTGTTCCCCTTCTCTGCTTTTTGGTTTGATTGATTTTTGTCGCCTCATGGAGCGAAGAACAATGTTTCGCTCACAAACTGCATGATGCCGCGAGGTATATACAGTAAACATGAGGGATGGCTGTTCATGGATGTAAAACATGGGCAGGGTGAGGCGCTAACGGTTCCAGTCCTGGGACAGAAAGGATGCATCTTCTGAGAAGCGAAAGAGTCCAAAGCAGTGGAGAAGAAGAGGAAACCCTTTTGGGGGGAATCAGTTGTACAAACAAGGGAGGAATCAGTTTTGTAAATAATTTGGGCCAAAGTTGCCAAACCATGCATTGTATTATTTATTTGCAATTTTGCACAATGAAGGAGAACTGGATCAATTTCTTTGGCTCATTGTTTTTTGAAATTTATTTTTTGAAATTTCATCCAATAAATGAAAGTTAGGAAACATAATCACAAGGAAATTTCAAATTTCAGTCACTGGATAAGAGAGGCAAGAAAAAAGTTGAAGTTGAAACAGACTACCAGTTGAGAATCAAAATGCCTCAGATATGTGCCGACTCTGCCGAGTTTATGTAGATGGATTAAGAATTAAGACATGACATTGGTACGATAGTAATCATGATGCTATTACGCAAATGCATTAACAGCATTATTAAAAAATCGTCAAGAAGCATCTCGCGAAGAACATTGTCGAGATTAGCAAACTATACAAGTGCTGCTTTTGTCTTGCTCTCCCTCGTTTTTCTCTTTCTTTTCTCCCTCCTGCTGCTTCTGCCCCTCCTCCGCTCATCACTCTCCCTTCTGCTGTCTTCTGGCTGTGCGTTCATCTTGAACATTAAATTCACTGAACTAGAAGATTAGGCCTTCCCCACTTGTTTTTGTGTGTTGCCAGGGGATTCTTTGTCTTCTTCTTTTTTTCCCCTAAGAACAATAATTTGCTGAAAACCGGGTGCAGTGTTGTTCACATGAACTGCTCACACAACGCCTTTTCCACAAAGCCGAGAGGGATCACCAAACACACCAGTCTTCCTAGTACTGCAAAAAGGCACATCCATCAGAGATTGCCAAACTACTTGCCACATCTCAAGGCGGGCCACTGGATGCATTAAGCAGAAGCAAGCACGCACAACAGACAGTGGAACATTATGAAGAGTGCAGAGAAGCCAAAGAACTAACAGATAATATGTGGTGTGTGTGTGTGTGTGTGTGTGTGTGTGTGTGTGTGTGTGTGTTCAGATCATATCAAGCATTTCTGCTATCAATGCCCCACGTAAACGTGATATATAGGGAGCCAGGCCGAGCAGATAGTCTCCACCTACTTTGTCTATAGGGATGCGGAGCTGTTTCAACCCGATGGTAGGCTAGATTGATGGCTTCAAAACAGGATCCTGAAAACAATCATGTAGTCAATGCACAAGCGCTTGATGGCTTCAAAACAGAATCCTGAAATCATGTAGTCAACGCACAAGCGCACAAAGCAAGGGAAAAGACAACCAACAGCAGATGAGAAACGACCAGGTGGAAAGCAGCAAGGGAAAAGCAGTGGGCCAACACATAGGCTGGAGGGCACGGGGAAGGCGGGAGGGCACAGGGAAGGTGGGAAGGCGGACAACTCACAAGCACACAAGGCAGGCAAAAGGCATCAAGCGAGATAGGATGGAGGGCATGGGGGAGGCGGGCTGGCAGGCAAGCAACACTAGACATCAAAAGAAAGGGCAGTGGACCAAAACGTAGCAAGGCGAAAAGAACGCAGACAAGCAAAGTACTCGTCCAGAAAATGGAAGGACTGAAAGAAAAAAAACAAAACAAAACTGATGATTGCAGATTGTTTTCGTCAGACTTGCACAAGTTTCGTCGGACTTGCACAAGTTGCACCGACTCATCAGGAGGTTGAACCCTCGGTCATCTGCCGAATCCCCATATTGATGCTTTGGGTCATTAAGCAGGCAACACTACAATCAAAACATAGCAGTAGGCAATGACTCATCGAAGCGCCAGGCAACGACTCATCGAACCAGCAGGCAACGACTCATCGAAGTATCAGGCAACGACTCATCGAAGCACCAGGCAACCCTGCCGGGGCAACCCAACTGCAAAACATCAAGGCGAACTGCATGGATTGATAACGCAAGCGGACAAGCAGCATGGCAAGGCAACACTGCCAAAGCAGCCAAAACCACAGGGGGCACTAGTAAAGCGCATGGGAGGACAAGGCACGCAGATGGCCAGCAAGCCTAGAGCGCAGCAAAGCACAAGGCAACACCAGGAATGCAGACGAACCACAGGCAACACACCAGCTGGGAAGAACGACATTGGGAGCAAGCGGGATGGGCAGTAAAGCAGCCGCGGAGCATAGACAAGGCAGTCCACACATCCAAGACGGACCAAAGCAATCGCAGACTGTTGGTTCACGTGCATCCTAAGTGAACACGAGATACTGTTGGTTCACTTACACCCTAAGTGAACACCACAGACTGTTGGTTCACTTACACCCTAAGTGGACACCACAGGGAGTCGCTCCGACGAAGATCTTTCATCACCCGCAAACATCCCGAACTGAGCAATCGCCTTAAGAGTGACAGGCAATGGAATGACTGACTATTTAGCACTGCTTAGAGATGCTCAGTTAGGCTCACAGAAAATACTTAGCAAAAATACAAGGAAGAGTCTGGAAGACAGAATACAAGGAAGACAGCAACAGAAAGAAACAGGTAGAAAGACATGCATAAAGCTGATTGAGTGTGTGGTTCTGCGTACATGCATAAATTTGACTTTGTGTGTTTGCATGTGTGTGCATGTTTTTGAATTTCCTTCCTTTGCGGGAGGCAGGTCATCCATGCACGATGTGATCTTGTAATGTGCTTGCTGCTTGAGGAGCTAGGGCTGCCACCTGTGTCAGAGGAGTTTACTGTGACAAGTGTTCCGGTCACACGCAAGAGGTCAACCAGGGTTTGCAAGTGCAGACCATCCATCAGGGCCTTGCCGCTGGAGGCGGAGGACGAAAATGGGAACCCCAAAGAGCAACCCAGAAGTACTACCAGCAGTGGGAGCACGCCCAGGAGACACTCCAACTTGCCGCATAATGACGAGGAGGAGCCAGTCAGGCATCAGAGGGGTTCCATCTCTCAGAACGGGGGTTCCGAAGGACAACCCAGTAGTAGCATGAGCAGCGACCCAACACACGGGAAATCCTCCGGCTCGTTCTGTGATAATCGTGAGAAGGAAGTTACAGTGAGGCATTGGGGGGAGTTTATCTCTGAGCCGAGGCTTTCATCACGAAGCTCTGATGACGAATGCACTGTGCTTCAGTCAGGTTGCAGGGAACTTCTGCCTGGTGATTTGGAGGAGAGCCAGGGCAAGCTCCTGCCAGTGGACCTGAGCTCTGACGGTGAGTGCACACTGCTTCAGTCAGGTTGCAGAGAACATCTGCCCGGTAACTTGGAGGAGAGGCAAAGCAATCTTCTGCCAATGGACCGGGTACATGACGGTGATGACCTGCAGGCAGGTTACTTTACCCCGACCTCCGATGAGTATCAGCCGGGTAAGTCAGACTGTCGTCGTAACGAGCGTTGGCAAGGTAACACGGAAGTAAGTTGCCGTGGGTCACAACAACTGCGGCCGCGGGAATCGGCCAAGCGAGGTGTGCAAGGTAACACAGAAGTAAGTTGCCGGGGGTCACGACTACTGCGGCCGCGGAAGTCGGCAAAGCGAGGTATGTATGCAGAAATGGGTGAAGACTCTGTCCATTATAGGGATACCACATCTGGGGAGTCTGATGGGGAATCGGCAGAGTCAAGGGATGTTTCTTGCGAAGAAGAAACATCCTGTCGAATGGTGGATTGTGGGAATGACTGTAGTGTATCTAGGGATGGTTACGGTGAATTGGAAGCTGTGTGTCAAGACGTCGGCGATGAAGAGGTTGGGGACTTCAGGGATGAAGGCCAAGGGCAGAAGAGCGCGAGTGTGTTGTTTCCTGCTGTAGAATCGACTGAGAAATTACGTCTTGGGGAGAAACAGATGGGGGTAGCGTACACAAGTAGTCCTAACGGGGTTTTGAGAAGAAGCTCCGCAAGTGTGGTTGATGGCTTTCATCTTGTGCTTGCCGTAAGGCGGAAGAGAAGCAGGCGAGAGGACAGTAGTGGCACGCTCGCTGGCAAGAGATGATCTGTTGTCGGGAAGGGCGCAAACCGTCCACAATTTTGTTTGTTCAATATTGATCCCTATTTTTACCTTTCCGTTGTCACTTCTCCCTCCCTTTTTGCCTTGTGCATGCACCGGATTGGGAAGCACAGGCACAGATTCACACCTTGACCTGGAAGCCCACTGGTTGACGAGTTCAGTTGACTGGCCTTAAGTCAGCAGGCCACACTGTGTCATGCACGCTGTTTGAAATGCCATGATGTTGGTTGTGACCGACATCCCGGTCTCTGATGTAAAAATCCAGCATTGCGGTGAGCTTGTCACCGCCGTCGTTGTGTGGATCTATTGTGACACATGACCAGTCGCTCTGGTTGGCACTTCATCGTGGTGTCCTTGCTATGGTTGCCCATTCGTGCTTTTTAAAATCATTATCGCAGTGAGCACGATCTTGTACCTTGAACAATTGTCAGTGGAGCAAACTGCTGACACTTTTGCTCTTTCTCCCTCCCCATCTTCTCTTGTTTCTCCTCACGTCTTCTTCGCCTGCCTCAATGCTACTTCCGTTCCACTCCTGGGATTCCAACTTCTCCCTCTCTAGCTCCTTCTCCCAATCTCCTCTTTCTGCTACCGGTGGTCTCTGAGCATGATCCCCATGTCCCTGCCTTAAGGCCATGCAGATATCATCTTCAGTTGGCCTTAAACCACCAGTACCCCAGGGGGTCTTAGGCCCCCTCTGGGGAGGCGTTGACCACCTATTCAGCCATTATGCTAGCGGCCCAAAAACGTGGAGGTACTGGTGGTTTAACCCCCCCCCCCCCCCCCCCGACGTCAAAAACCCTGGGGGACCAGTAGCGCAATTTCAAGAGGGCTACCGACAGCATAGTGTGGAGAACTGGCTGAATGGCAAAAATGGAAGATGTGTAGAATTGCTGCCATGCAGTTGGAATGATTTTTTTCAATTTTCTACATTTTTCCTGGAAAGATCACAACGAAATCTATGGGCCTTCCTATTTTAAGAGTTTTCACTCATTCTTCTGAGTGTGAAAAATCACAGAAGTTGGAGTTCTGTTTCCGTTGGCCCACACATGACAGAGGGCAAAAATGGAAATTCCGCGATTATTTCATGTTTGATTTTTTTTTTTTTTTCCCCTCATTTTTCTGATGTTTTTCTTGGAAAGATCACAACCTAATCTGCAGGATGTAAAATTTTCATATTTTTCTGCGCATTTTCCTGAGTGGGAAAAATCGCCAAAGTTGCCGCTTTCAAATCGCAGGGCTGGACCCGCCTTTTTTTACCTCTCGGTCCCCGCCCCTCTGTGAAACCCAGCCCCAAATCCTGGTGTATTTTGGCCCGACCAGTGTAGCTCTGCTCTTTAGGAAACGTACAAGATACCGCTCTCCACCTTCACCGAGAGAGGGAAACGGAGGGAAAGCCACAGCCTCTCTCCTGCAAAAGTTCCGGCGTTTGTCAGAAAACCAGCCACGCAAAAAATTGCTCACAGAACCCCCAGAATTACTCCTTCCCCCCAAAGAACCACTCCACTTGTCCTTACACTGCCTCCGTCGGGAGGCATCCCCTTCACCTCACCGCCCGCCCCAGTTCAGGACAGCCCCGTAAATGGCCACCCCTGCACTCTCAGCGGCATACAATCCCCGCTAAATTATGCCCCCGCAGAGCGAGAGTTTCCCCTGCCATCCCGTTTCACCGCCTCCGAGCAAAACAGCCCTCTCAACTTCTCACTTTGCTGAAATCAGCTACTCTTGTCCCCTTTCGTCACCTTATGAACGCATGAACAAGACAAACTTGAAGGACAAGTTTCAGAAACACCGACTAGGATTAGGAAAAACAGATTCAGAAAAGCAGAAAGTTGCTCAGACAGTTGTATATGGAGTTTTGTTTTACGAACTTGAAGGTTTAGAATACAGAATCACGTGTCCTTCGGGACATCCGTTAAAATTGGAGCGATACAGAGAAGATTAGCGTGGCCCCTGCGCAAGGATGACACGCATAAATTGAGAAATGGTCCATATTTAAAAAAAAAAAAAAAAAAA